ATAATGGAAAAAATACTGACCTCTTACATAATCCAATATAGAACATGGCAGAGATAACACGAGTCTATAGATAGAAAAAATCAAAGGAAGTAATTTGAGCAGAATACACATCTGAATTTGAGCACTCTTGAATACATGGAATTTAAATTACCTGAAGAATAATTTTCCAAACTGTTGCAGGTTCAGCACTACCTGTAGGTGAAAATGACAGTTCTTTCAGTAATAGAAAGAAACAACAAAGAGAAGAACAAGCCAAAGAACTCATAAGATTATACCTAGGAGGAATTTTGGAGATGGTGTCTCATCCCATCTCCCAAAATCGAATATAAATAGCCCAACGTACACACTGAAATAATTGGCAGGGGATTATTAAGGGAAGGATCCATAAATACAAGACGAGGAATCAGAGAAAACGTTTCAATCATACCGGGAAATCTGCAAGACAGTAAAACGCAATTGCCTTAACTCAAAACACGACCTAGAGTCTGACCTAAAAAGTAAAATCCAACGGATTGTACCCGCAAACCTAACGCAAATTTGATTGTCAAACACTAAAGTTAAAAGTCAACCTAGAACCTAACCCAAAACCAACCCCAAAATCAGGTCCAATCCCCAAAGTAAGAAACAAAATCCCTAACCAGAACCTAACCCAACAACCAATTGCAGGGGTGCATTAAGCTATTCCCATGTTTAAAAATTGTGAATAAGTACAAAAGAAATGAATATGACAATTTGCCTCTTCTTTCTACGCCGAACGCCCTCCTCTCCATCTCCGACCTCTGATTCGTTAAAGTCTCTCATCGTTTCTTGATCTACTCGCTTTCTTTGTCTCCTGGTATTCCTAGGGGAAGCAAGAACTGAAGAGGCATTTCGGGTCCTGCGTCTCCGGCGAGCGCCGGCGGGCTCGGCGACGTGGTCAACAGTTTCAAGATTCTCCGGTAAACGTGACTTCGTTCTCCGATTTGGGGATGGGGAGATGAGAAAGAGTTCTTGGTTTGGGACTGAAGGGGAAATTTCAGCAGCCACATCGATTCGACGAATTTTGGAGCGCCTTGAAGACGATCTTGTTCGGCTTCTGGGTTCCGGCGGCGGAGGAGTGGAGTCCATGAACTTGGTTTTTTTCCGGCGAGCTGATGTTTGAAAATGCGGAGAATATGTGGAGGTGGTACAAAGAGATACGTTGGAATATGTTTGAATTGACTGGTTTTGTAGGGGTTTTGACTTTTTGTGACTCCATGTTAGACCCGATCAAATTGTGGGTCGGTTTAGGCCGACCATCATAGCAATTAGCAAGTAGCAACCCAACAAATAAAATCCAAACCCATACAGTTTTTTTCTTTTTTTCACTCATTTTTGTACACTCCCCGTTCTAAAATATTTCACATATTTTTTCCAACAAATACGAGAAGTTTTGTTTATTTGTATGTTTTTATTGATTATTTGATAAAATAAAGTATTCTTGAAATCTCTTATTTCTAAGAGCTTTTCATGTACTTTTTAAATATGTAAGTTTTATTTTTTATTTCTATATCGACATTTCAAAAACATGAATTCAAAAAATTTGATGTTTTGCTTCGTTTTTTTAAAATGTGGTAAACATTTAGGAATTGATAGAATATTGAACATCTTTTTTAATAACTAACTTAATATTCGTATAGCCAAAATGCCAAATTAGATAAATTAATTTGGAACAATAAGATGGTGTTTGGGAGTGATTAAAGTGCACAAAAGTTGAAAGCAAAAGTATTTGATAACTGCTTCTCCAAAACGGTGTTATATATGCAAAATAGTGGTGGAGAAAAGTAGAAACTAACATGCCAAATAGAGTAAATAAAGGCATAAATCAATTGACTACTACCTCCGTCCCAGAGTATTTGTCCACTTTCATTTTTACACATCATCCAATATACTTCTTTAATCCATTTTATCTTGTAATTTGTAAATTAAAAAATTATAGAAATTATATTTTAATAATCTATATGTTAAGACAAATTAAACAAGATCATACATGACTATATTTAGGCTTACACATTGAGAGAATTTAATGAGTCAAAGTGCTTAGATGAACAGTTTCAAAAGTCAAAACTGGACGAATACTCTGGGACGGAGGGAGTATTAAAGAGTACATAGATATGTATGATGTATTTGTTCACTTTAAGTTGCTACAATAAAATTTGGAAAATTTTAATTAGAAATGAAAAAAACTTACATATGATAACTACTACAAAAATGATTTAATTACATTTATATTACGAAGTAAAAAAACTTTAGAAAAAATATTTTATTTTACTAATAGTCAATTTTTAACTCGCGTCAATCAACAATTTAATTCTCTAATTGACTTTACATGTATATTTAAGACATAAAAATTGCTTCAATTTTCCCTTTTTGCCCTTAGAGCACTTACAATGGGGATATTTTCCCCCGCCTCAACTCTTGTCACAACAGGAGTCTACTAACTTTTCATCTTGCTCCAAGATTCTATAATACTATCATCCAGAAAATCAATCTCTTTATTTTTTACATTATTTATTATTTTTAATTGCAATTTTTTTTTAAAAAATACATACAATTAAAAAAAT